GGTGGCATCGCCCCGTGTGACCCTCACACCCCCTTCCACTGCCCCGGGACATGCAGCCTGTGTGGGCACGGGGTCAGAGGTCGGTGCTCCCGGTGACGAGGACGATCCCGGTCGATTTTCCGTCCTGTCGGGAGGGAGAACGGCAGCAGCTCCTCCTGCCACCTCCCGGACATTTAGCTTCCGTCTCCGGATCCTGTCGATATCCTCGTAATGTTTATCAGGAACCTGGGAATATGGGAAAGGAGACAATTCACAGGGGGGCAAGGGGGGCAAATTCACCCAGAGACACCCAGAGACACCCAGAGACACCGAGAGACACCCAGAGACACCCAGAGACTCCCAGAGACACCCAGAGAGACCCAGAGAGATCCAGTAACACCCAGAGAGACCCACTCACACCCAGAGACACCCAGAGACAGGCAGACACACCCAGAGAAACCCAGAGACACCCAGTCACACCCAGTCACACCCAGAGACACCCAGAGACACCGAGAGACACCCAGAGACACCCAGAGAAACCCAGTCACACCCAGAGACACCCAGAGACACCCAATCACACCCAGAGACACCCAGAGACTCCCAGAGACACCCAGAGACACCCAGAGACACCCAGAGACACCCAGAGAGACCCAGAGACTCCCAGATACTCCCAGAGACACCCAGAAAGACCCAGAGACACGCAGAGACACCCAGAGACATCCAGAGACACCGACACACACCCAGAGACACCCAGAGTCACCCAGTCACACGCTGTGACACCCAGAGACACCCAGTCAGACCCAGTAACACCCAGAGACACCCAGTCACACACAGAGACACCCAGTCACATCCAGTGACACCCAGAGAGACCCAGTGACACCCAGAGACACCCGGAGCTCCAACAGAGAGACTCAGAGACACCCAGTGGACCCCAGTGGCATCCAGCAAGGTCCAGAGACTCCAGTGTCATACAGTGAGACCTGAAATCACCTAGTGAGCCCCAGCAACACCCAGAGACATCCAGTGACACCCAGTGGTACTCATTCATACCCAATGACACCCAGTGTCAGTCTGTGACTCAGTGAAGCCCAATTACAGCCAATGTCACTGTGCGACACCCTGTGACACCCAGTAACACAGACACACAAGCGATAACACCCTGTGTCTCCCAGTAACACAAACACACAACCGATAACACCCTGTGTCTCCCAGTAACACAGACACACAACCGATAACACCCTGTGACACCCAGTAACACAGACACACAACAGATAACACCATGTGTCTCCCAGTGACACAGACACACAACCGATAACACCCAGTGTCTCCCAGTAACACAGACACACAACCGATAACACCCTGTGACACCCAGTAACACAGACACACAACCGATAACACCCTGTGTCTCCCAATAACACAGACACACAACCGATAACACCCTGTGACACCCAGTAACACAGACACACAACCGATAACACCCTGTGTCTCCCAGTAACACAGACACACAACCGATAACACCGTGTCTCCCAGTAACACAGACACACAACCGATAACACCCAGTGACACAGACACACAACCGATAACACCCTGTGTCTCCCAGTGACACAGACACACAACCGATAACACCCAGTGTCTCCCAATAACACAGACACACAAACAATAACACCCAGCCACACCCAGAGACACCCAGTCACGCCCAGTGACATCCAGTGGCACCCAGAGAGACCCAGTCACACCCAGAGAGACCCAGAGACACCCAGCCACACCCAGAGACACCCAGTCACACCCAGAGACATCCAGTGACACCCAGAGAGACCCAGAGACACGCAGAGACACCCAGTCACACCCGGAGAGACCCAGTCACACCCAGAGACACACAGCGACACCCAGAGAAACCGAGTCACACCCAGAGACGCCCAGTGACACCCAGAGAGACCCAGTCACACCCAGAGAGATCCAGAGACACCCAGAGACACCCAGTGTCTCCCAGTCAACGTGAGTGAAGGGGGTCCCTGGGTTCCCCACACACAATGACGCTGCCCGTTTCCCTTCCCAGGGGTAACTGTTCCTCCTGCCCCTCGATAGTTGGCATTCTGTTCATTGGACAGTGTCAGTGGGTCCTCACCTCCTGATCGGTGGCATCGCCCCGTGTGACCCTCACACCCCCTTCCACTGCCCCGG